ATTCATTGTGAAAATATTTTTACCATGTTTAACTCTATTTCTACACTTTTGCCTCCCTGGTCTTTGACCGGCCTTGTATTGTTCAATGGTCTTCCTCAGCATCCTTTTATTTTTTGCCCAGTTTCTAAAGCGCTTTGTAAACTGTGTGCTATATAAATAAAGTTATTATTATTACAACACATAGAATAAACAAGCGGCTATGATATAAGCAGAGTTGTTCTCATAACTGCATCTACGTGCACAGGGAGGATTAGAAAACTAATTAAACCAGGTGGCAGATGAGGCCCACAGAACCTTTGCACAAAGTAAATGTGATCACTTTCAAAAATTCCCACCATTTTCCAACTTTAAATATTGATATACTGCCACCCACAGCTTGTAGGAGGCTTCATTTCATCTTGCAGATGCATCGAGATGAGTTCAGCCAACAGTCTGATACAGAATATGTGAGTCACATGCACACACACAAAAGAAAGCATTGCATATCATCTCACTAAATCAACAAACACAGGTATTGGAGAACGTGGCACTGAGCAAAAGGTTCTCTGGTGTCTGTTTTAGCGCTGCAGCTCTGGATTATTCCCGGGCAAACATCTGCCGACATTTTGCATCCTCTTATCGTGGAGCTCAAAGGTTGGCTTCTGAAAACTGATCGCCGACCACGCAGAGAAACATCTGTCCGTTCGAGCAGTGCGTGTAGATGTTCAGAGCACCATCTGGGAGAATCAGTTTTCTACCAGCACCTCCCTCTGTAACGGATCTGTTTAGCATCTCACGCTGTGACTCAGACTCCTCTCCTGGAATATAATGTCCTTTTATAGAGAAATCAGTCGAATATAGGGACCACGCTGGCATTTTAAAGCAATTAAAGTCATTTTCGCTTTTTTTCTCTTTGTTTTTTTTTTTTACTTTCTTTTCCCTTCAGTGGATCTGTGAGAGGTCATTCAAAAGTCTGACAAGTTGCCACTCTCATCCTCTTTTAACCTTAATACTTAGAGCCAATCTGGAGTGAATTCCCCCTCTGCAAAACTCCATTTACACAACATATTTTTTTCAATCTGCTTCTGTAGGAGTGGTGGGCTTGGACACAAACACACTATTCTCCACCAAAGTAAACAGTTTTGCTTATTTCACAGAAGGAGAATTTCAGTATTTTTTTTTTTTTGTCTGGTGCGAAATGGACCAATATTTAAATCACAATCTGATGACAGTTGGGTTTGCTGTTTGCTTACGCTGCTGCCAGAACAGTCAGTCACATCTCATGAAACCTCACCTACACAGTCCTGATGGGAAAAAAAATATAGTTTTAATTTGTGTTGCTTTTAGATTTAAAATCACAGATAAACGGCTGAGATTGGAAGTTTTTAGGGGTTGAAAGGGGGCTCACAACACAACAAATTCCTCATTCGGGAGTCGAAAGGGCAAATCAATATTAGTAACCCTGCAGTCAAGATTTTAGAGAGCACAGAACGGGGATGGAGACCTGATATTTCAGTCAAAAATGTGTGTAAAAGATGACAGATGATCTGCAAAAGCTAAACTGGTGGATATAAATTGTATAACTCCATAAGTTTCTGCTTCCGTCTGAGCTTTCTCTTCTTTCTTTTGAGTGTATTCTGTAAAAAAAAAAAACTCATCTGAAAAGGAGAAGGAGGAGGAGGTGTAGTTTCCTGCTAATCAACCTTCCGGGCTTGACCCCTGTTGTTGAAGGGCGGCTGTTACTATGGATACATGAGGGAATCAAAGAGAGCCCACTGCTCCTCTTCTCACCTGATGACGATCACACCGGGGATGACACAAATCACAGCGGGGGTGTTACAGAAATCTGTAAGCGTCTAATAAGGAAAAAGGAGTGGGCAAGAGCTTTTACTTTATTCCTCCGTCCTTCTGCATTACTTTTTTTTTGTTGTTGTTTCTCCTTCTTTTTAATCTGCCGTTTCTTCCGATAATAGCGTGTTACATCTCGTTTTTTTTCCTCATTCCTGCGAGCCACATAATTACTCCGTGCTGATTTCATACAGCAATAATTAACAGTCGACGCTCGGAACATAGAGTGCATTCAGTGTAATTAAAATACAAAGGGGTGTGCTGTGTATGAGCATCCGTCTGTCTGCCGAGCCCGCTGAGAAGAATCAGCTGAAAGAAGCAGCAAATTAAACCGAAAATTGATCTCAAAAGGTTTCTGCGACCCTCCGTCTGGATCTTGCATGTGCAAACTGACCTACATGCGACGGGAAACACAGACAAGAGCGATGGCACCTTCATAAATCACATCTGGCTATTAGATTTGACAAGCTGTCATGTGCTTTTGTTAGCAGAGAAAAAAGTCTCTAACCTGATTTGTTCTGATTTACTGTATCTCCAAAGAGAGGCGTTACAACATGATGGAGTAGTCTGAGGTCAGGTACGGAGAAGCGTGAAGTAGGCAGTGAAAAGGAAAGAGAGGGGGCGTCTAGGACAAAGGTAACCAATGACAAACTGTCCTTGTGTCGCTGAATGGCCTCTGCAGCCTCAGTTCCCTTGGTAACTTGTTAGCGGGATGTCAAAGTCCATGTTAAGTCCCTTCTGCGTTATGAATTACAGAAGGGACTTAATACAGGGAAGCGATTTGAATTTGTTTTACAGTGGCATATATAAAGGAGGCGGCGTTCAAACAGTCCTGCCAAACACCGCCTCTATGAATTATACATGGCCGCTAGACGCCTCATGAGCGCCTCGGCGAGCTAAACTCCCCGGCTGATACAAATCAAGGCCATTCATTGATTCGCTAAACTACAGCAGAGGCCAAAAAAGCTTCCGTTCTCGGCTACATGTCATTGGATGTCACGACGCCTTTGTTCGCTTTTCACTTGACATTAGCGGCTGACTTTTCTGAGTCGAACTGAAAGTTGAAATGAAGGATTGAGGTCAGAAAGCAGCAGCGGTGCAGCGCTCACTTTGTCGAGTCTCTCAAAAATAAAAATAAAGATTTCCAGCATTTCTTCAAACAATAAATCCCCACATGTGCTCCGTCACTCACTGTCAGTGCAGGGATTCACGTCGAGCATTAGTCTAATGTATGCAGCTCATTACAAGCTCTCACAGAGTAATAACCTGATGTATTTAGGAGGACTTTGCACAGAGATTCATGTGCAAAAGTTGCTTCCTGCTGCCAGAAAAATGCAGCTCGGGATATTTTACAGCTTCTTAATTCCTTCCACCCTGGAGCTCCCTGCACCGATGTACCAGACAGTACCTGGCATTAAAAACACAACCTGTCACCATTTTTAGCAAGTGTCTGGTACAAATATAATTAAAAATGATGTAGTGTTTACTGTGCCTCACTTCTGTTGCATCAGATTCCATTAGAACTTTTAGTAAAGGTTCAATAACATCACTGTTATTCACATTGTAATGTAAATTTTAGATTGAGCCCGTTACAGTCTCACTCTGGTCTGCTGATGGGGATGGAGAGGACACTGAATGTATTTCAGAAGTGTCTCTTATCCACAGAATCCAAGGTTGTTCATGTTGGCTTCACAGTTGTAGAGCTACTTATGACTGAATTTGTTTTGTTTTGTTTTCAGGCGGCACTGGCAGATTCTATCAGGGCAGATATTGAATGAGGGGAGTTAGTCCTGTGCCTCTGGTGCCATGTTGTTACCTCCATCAGAAAGGTTTTAAATCAGCGTGATGCCCATTCAAGATACTGCACATCCTGCTTATCGGACTCGGCTCCACAAACCAAAGCTTTCATCAGCATAAGCCAGACATTAGACATGGACTGGATACAGAAAACATGACGTCATCCATTGGTTTGCAGACTATCACCTTGATTTTTGACATTTTGGCCACTGCCATCTTGTTTTCATTTTTTTAAACTGGGCGTGATGTGAGGCAGATCTGACTTTAAACCCAGCGACACTAGTCAGTCACAAGGTGGCCACACCCTAAAATATATCCTGTTTTATAACCTATTTTCCTCTAAATGAGGCCATGATTTACTAAATGAACATCATGCTGCATTGAAGGAGACCTTAAACTAGCGACTGAGACCACAAACTCATTTGGAAAACATTTACTGAGGGAATAAATCAAGTGAGATGTACAGTCTTATTCTCATGCGGCAGTTGTCTGCTGGAAACTTTTAGGACCTTTGAGGATGCAAGAACTGCAAGAGCCACCCCTATATAAAATGTTCTATGGTTGTGTTCCAGCAAGAAAAATGTCTCTACTTCTGAGTGGCCCTGCACAATATGTTTTGCAGGTCTCAAACTGGCTAAACCTGATTGGTCAACCTAGAAAGGACAACAAGTACTATTTTCCTGCTCTCTCGCTACGTCTCTAAAACATCACAGACATAAAATTCACCACAGAGGATCACATAGAAAACGCCTAGTTGTTCTGTTACTCATGTGCCCACCTGAACACTTCTATCCAGTTTGTCTTTCTTGTGCAACCAGAGGAGTCGCCCCCTGCTGGCCGCTTGAAACAACTCAGGTTTAAGTCATTTCTGTTAGGAGCTTTTATTAAGTAGAACCCAAGCAAAAGAATTGATATTGCTGATATTAGCCAAATTTCCCTTATTGCTGATATGTATTGATGTATGTCAGCCATTAAATGACCAAAAAAAAACTGCAATACAGAAGTATTGACTGACTAGTTATTGAAACCAGAATATAGTTTGTCTGACAAAAAGCAAGTTCATGTCTAAACTATAAAAATTGTACATTTTTTGGCAACAGTACTTTGATTGCTAAATGGAATTTTCCACACAGCAAAAATGGCTGTTTGTGTTAATGGCTAATTTACTGTTCTCGAATTATTAAAACTCAAATGGTATCAATCATAGCCTGTTATAAAAGATGACGTCATCATCAACAAAACACACAAAGCATTGCTACTGCAGAATATTTGGACACTGAATGGTAACACTACGTTTGCTACGTTCAAAAATATAACTTTGAGTCCAAAAGTGAACTGGATGTATTGACTCCTGCTGTTGAAATGAACAGTCCTACCTGTCTGAGGATGAAGCTGGTGGACGTGGTGCTGCCGTCGGACCTCTTCAGTCGACTGCGTCTGGAGTACGTCCCTCTGTTCGCCTGCTGAGGCCAAAACAAACACACAACTCAAATCCTCCCTTTCACTGTATGTATTTGTGTTGCATCCTCCCTATGTTTGTCCCTGTTCCTCTCCTCCTACACAAACTCAAGGACACCTTCCTCTCGGCAGCCCCATTTAAACCAACATCTCGGCCCCTGGGGTTGACACGGCTCCGTCCAGCTGTCTCCTGTCCTCTGTGATGACCTGATTACATCAAGTCTATCGTTTGCTGCCCTCTGAGACAAAAATCCATAATGAATTGTTTTTTGCATGAACACCGCCGACCTATTTCGGGGTGCGCTGAGGTAACGCCTCACCTGAGACGCAGGAGGAGGGGTGAAATATGATAAATGGCTTCCCGTCTCAGCTCTGCTAACGCTGCATGTGTGGCGTCCTGTGACTCTGGAGAGAGAATCTGGGGCAAAGTGGATCAGGGCTGCGAATAATGACGATTTTCGTTCTTGATTAATCTGCTGATCATTTTCTCGACTTATTGATTAGTTGTTAGGTCAAGAAACTGTAATAAAATGAGGGAAAATGTTTCCGAAAGCACAGGATGACAGCCTCAAATGTTGTGTTTTGTCCACAGCTCAAAGATATTCAGTTGTGGAACAAAGAAACCATAAAATATTCACATTTAAGAAGCTGGAATAAAAGAAAAATGCTCAAGATAGATGATAATTTTCTTGCCGAGCTGTTCTCAAATAAGTACATGACACTTAATTTCCAGGAAAGGTTCTAGTAAAACTTATATCAGAAAAGATTTAAGTGTCGCCACAATGTACAACAAGCCTTGTGCCATAACTGAAGCTAATCTGTGGGTGAAGAATTCTTTTTTTCTTGGGCAGCTTACTCAGTTATACATTTACATGCATGATGAATACAGGATGAATGAATGAATTATCTTCATTAGCAAAAAATTGTCAGTTATTTAGCTGTTTGTAAAATGTTCAAAGATTGTGTCAAAGGCAATCACAGTTGATTAAGCTTATTAAATTGCTCATGTCGTCTCATCAACACTCCAAAACCTAAAGATATCCAACTGGCAAACCAGCCACAGCTCAAGCTCTTCATATTTGCTCTGTCTGAAGTGTTTAATTATCATGATCAGGTTGAATTTGTTCCGTTGCCATGGAGCTGTATGTTCACGTGCACATCGCATGGATTGTCAAAGACAAACAGGAATTTCTCACAGGAACGAGGTAGAAATTCTAATTATGCTTTAATCAAAGCAGCGACTGATTTTCTATGAATCAACTCATTCAGCTTTTGCATTCCCAATACTTTCAAGACAATAACATCTGTGACAGAAGAAGAAGAAAAAAAAACTATAATTGCAAATTGACACACTGGCAAAAAAAAAAAAAGTCAATTTTCTTGTGTGGAAAAGTGACTGGAGCCACCTCATGCATCATGAGTGCAGCTCCATCAGAAAATGCTTAATAATTGAGCACCCAATTTCATTTTCTTTTTTGCATAAATCAAATTCTCAGCAGTCTGCAGGACCAGAGCCTCTGGTTTGACTAATGACACCTCAGGGACTAGTTAGAGATGATGAAAAATGCATCTTCTTCACAGAGCAGGATAATGACTTTATCGTTGTTTTCAGCTGACATGCATCAGGGACGCATTATCTTCCCCATCAGTGGTGTTCATATGGTTTGCATGGGATGTGTTTTAATGTGCATCACCAGAGAAAGAGAGAGTTGAGTTTTTTCCTGATTTAGTTTTTTTTTTTATCCTCTTACCTGAAACACTGGCTTCTGCAGCCCGTCTCCTATCCCGTGTCGGGTGTAGATGTGCCGGGACATCTCAGCCAGCTCATCGGTCCAGGGCGGAGGCTGCCGCTCGGTGCCGCTCCACTGGAACTGCTGCTGCTCCGGTGGCGGACAGTGGACCGCCGGCTCCAGCTTGACTCCGGTTCACGGCAACAGATAAAGAGAAAGAGGAAGAAGTGGTAGTAGCGATGCTGTCCTGCTCTGCTGCGGATCTGCACGGAAGATGCCCGAGTATCTGATAGCAGCCCTCCTCTGCCTCCCTCCCTCCCATCACGAGGGGTTTCAGCGGTGCTGCGTTCAAGGACAACACTGAACTTCAGCATCGCAGCTCCGCAGCTGCACGTCATGCACAGAAAATCAGTCATTTCCTAACAGCATCAAACGTTGCTGCAGTTTGTGCAAACTAACTGCACGTCACTATATTTAAACACAACTATTTATTGATTTTCAACAGTGCATCATGGTCAATTAAATTTGGCATTTGGAACAAAAAATTTACAATAAATGACTCTTTCATATCAGACAGCAAACATATTGCTACAAAGTAAAGTCAGTTAATTAAAAATATAAAATTTAAAATAAGCAATTGCGTAAGTATTCACCCCCTTTGACGTGACTCACCAGTTTCAAAACAAGTGCAACCAACTGGTACTTGAAGTCACACAATTAGTGAAATGGAGATCACGTGAGTGTAGTGAATGAAGTCTCAAGTGATTGCAATATCAAGACACCATATCTGGAAGATCCAGACACTGTGAATCAGCACTCTTGGATAGAACTACTCCATAAGGACAAAGAAACGCTCCAAGCAACTCTGTGAAAAGGTTATTCAAAAGCGTAAGGCCGGACATGGATACAAGCAAATTTTCCAGTCACTGAATGTCCCTTGAAGTACAGTTAAATTCATCATTAAGAAATGTAAGGAATACGACATGTGTAAATCTGCCGAGAGCAGGTCCTCAAAGACTAAGTGATCGTGCAAGAAAGAGTCAAGTGAGGGAGGCCACCAAGACACCTGTGACTCCTCTAAAGGAGCTCCAAGCTTCTGCAGCTGAGATGGGAGAGACTGTGCATCAAGCAGCTGTTGCCTCTTCTTCATCAGTCTGAGCTTTATGGGAGAGCAGAAAAGATACTGTTGAAAAAGTTAAATCTCGACTAGAGTTCATGAAAAGATGTGGGAGACTCTGAAGTCACCTGGAAGAAGGTTCTTTGGTCTGATGAGAGCAAAAGTAAGCTTTTTGGCCATCAGACTCGATGCTATGTCTGGTGAACACTAAGCACTGCACATTGTCACAGACACACCATCCCCACAGTGAAGCATGGCGGTGGCAGCATCATAATGTGGGGATGCTTCTCAGCAGCAGGCCCTGGAAGACTTGTAGAGGTAGAGGGTAAAATCAAATCAGCAAAATATAGGAAACTTCTTGAGGCCAACCTTGTGTCGTCTGCAAGAAAACTATGAGAAGATTTGTTTTCCAGGAGGACAATGACCTGAAGCATGCAGTCAGAGCTACACAGAATAGGTTTAAAGACAACAAGGTGAATGTTCTGGAGTGGCTGAATCAGAGCCCAGACCTCAGTCCAATTAAGAAATTGTGACTGGACTTGAAAAGGCTCTTCACTTACATTCTCTGTGTAACCTGACAGAGCTCGAGCAGTTTAGAAAAGAAGAATGGGGTAAAATTGCAGTGTTCAGATGTGCAAGACTGATTGAGATCTATCTATGCAGGCTCAGTGCTGTACTTCTAGTCAGGTTAATGAAATGTCCAAACTCATCTCAGGTAGTAGGGCTGCAAGGTGATTAGCACCGTTGTCTCACAGCAAGAAGGTCACCGGTTTCCTCCCACAGTCCTAAAACATCCATCCATCCATCCATCCATCCATCATCTATACACCGCTTAATCCTCACTAGGGGGGGGCTGGAGTCTATCCCAGCTGACTTAGGGTGAAAGGCAGGGGACACCCTGGACAGGTCACCAGTCTATCACAGGGCTACACTTAGAGACAGACAACCAAGCACACTCACATTCACACCTACNAGTCAGAGCTACACAGAAAAGGTTTAAAGACAACAAGGTGAATGTTCTGGAGTGGCTGAGTCAGAGCCCAGACCTCAGTCCAATTAAGATATTGTGACTAGAATTGAAAAGGCTGTTCACTTACAGTCCTTGTGTAACCTGACAGAGTTTGAACGGTTTAGAAAAGAAGAATGGGGTAAAAGTGCAGTGTCCAGATGTGCAAGACTGATTGAGACGTATCTATGCAGGCTCAGTGCTGTACTTCTAGTCAGGTTAATGAAATTTCCAAACTGATCTCATGTACTAGGGCTGCAAGGTGGTTAGCACCGTTGCCTCATAGCAAGAAGGTCGCCGGTTGGCATCCTGGTGAGGACACCCAGGATCCTTCTACGTGGAGTTTGCATGTTCTCCCCGTGCAGCATGGGTTCTCTCCGGGTTCTCCAGCTTCCTCCCACACAGTCCAAAAACATGCTGAGGTTAATCATGATTGTGAGTGTGCTTGGTTGAAGAAGAGACAAAGGGGTGGATTCATCAGATAAAACAACATAAATGTCTCCAATCTTTGACACTGGACTTTACAAGGAGCATGTGAAGGCAACATAAACTCTCCCTCACATTTAGTCAGTGAGTTCAGGCCAATTAATTCTCTTCATGGTGTATAAAACCACTGCAGGCCTCATAAAAACCTAATGCTGCCCCATTACAGACACTGTACACTATGTTAGTACAAATATCTTTCTCAACATTTTTCATGAAGATAACGGTTAAATTATCTAACCACGTTTTTTTGAAAAAACGGGCTATTGTAAAAAAACAAATAAATACAAATACTTTTTAATGGTGTAAATGCAGCTAAAAAGAAGAAAACAGGCATTTTCTACTTTTCGGTGGCAATTGTATTAAAAAAAACAAACATACAGTATATGTCAAGTATAAAAAAACTGCAAACCTCATGAAAGTTGGATACTATCCATTACAGAAATTACCGAGACTGTATATTATGTTAGGCTGTTAGAATAAAGCCAGCATTTTCTGCATTTTAATCAGAAATACATAATAAGAAAACAACATTTTTTATTCTATAATGGTGTTTCTACAGGACATATAGTATGGTCAGCTCATTACCATGCTAATGATGGTATGTAAAACCACAACAACCTTCATAAAAATCAATTGCTGTCCCATTACAGACACTGTATCTTATGTTGACTGAATGATCCAAGCATACTTTTTAATAACATTTTTCGTGACCATCACTGGTCTCATTAAAGAGATAAATTATATTGTAAATGAAGTCTGGTATGTACCATCTATAACGTTTTACATTTTTTAACACAAGTACTTTAGGTCGGTTTAGTGTTGCTTTCAGGCCAGTTTTTTCTCAGTTACATCTCACCAGGACAAACAGCAGATGATAAAAAATCCCCTCAGTCTTTCTCAGCAGACCGAGCTACCGGCTGTGTCGTTTTCAGAAAACCTCACAGCAGGTTTGAGGAAAGCCTTTACACTCTGTAGGTACCCTGGCAAATGTTTGACCTTGAACATTTAGTCATTTCTTCTTCTTCTTCTTTTTTTTTTTTTTAAACTGCCTCTATCTGCACCAGAACAGCGCTGGCATTTAAAGATTCCCCCATGTGTCCATCTGAAAAGTAAAGAGCAGAAACTATAAAAAGGCCGAGTTCAATGAATAAATCATGTCTTCTGGGTAGATCATATTATTGGCTTGTACATCTCAGGCAGCTGCTGATGTGTGCTGGGGAATAGGAGAGTGTAATTATCATAAGTGGGCTTTTTAAAATCGTGTTCCTCTTAATTGTAGAAATGTAATTACTTCAACAGATACAAAGGAACAGTTGAAAAAAAAAAATAACCAAAAGACCAAAATTAATACAGGTCATTTTTTTTATTTCAAAGAATATTTATAAGTTTGCTCTGTTACAAAAGCAGCTTTAAAATCCTGGATAAAAGGAACTTTTGCTGGAATATTTTAAATATACAGAATTATACATATCCAGAGGATTCTGAGACATTAGTTACTCACCAAAGTTGTGTCTATGTCATTCTTTGTTTTTTCTACAGAAAAACAAGGCATTCAGTGGTAAATAAATGTTTACAAAGCTAAGGTGCAATGCCAAAGTCACTGACAAATCCAGGTATTTTACATCTAATATACAATGCATTTAACACGAGGTGCTCAACGGAAACACAGACAGCTCTGGCTAGAATTAGAACTATGGAGTTACTGCAACAGGACTGTAGGTTCTATGAGAGCTACCTCAATCGTAACTGAAGAAAAACAACAGTAGGTTCAAAACATGATGTCTCGCTTCTCCTTCTTCATTTTTAAACAACTAAAGATTTACTAAATTTTTGTTCCATTTACATTTTACCAAGACAATTAAAGTAAAAGCAGAAGCAACGTATGAATAATAATTACACATTTCCTCCGACCATGTAAATTACACATGTATAATGTCTCAATATATATAAATCAAGGTACAGGCAAAGTCATTGACGAGATTTGAAATTTGAAAGTATACAGACATGAAACATCTCAGTATTGTGCATTTGCATAAAACATGGAATCCTAACAGGTTTCCACTAAATGGAAGAGACCCCACACATGAAGAGAGGCAGAAAGGTACTGATGCCATAATCATGAGGAGATGCAGCATTTTGTCAGATTAATAACAAGCACACAAAGAGATTTCATCCAAAAGTCTGATGATCCTTCCAAAATCAGTGTATTTCTTTTTTAACGATGATGATTTTATATGTAAGTCCACAAACGCACAACACACATAGACATGTAAAAAAAAAAAAACACGTGCACACAAACACACGGACAATTTACTTAAATATCTCGAATGCAACCACAGAATGCATTACAAGGCAGTGGGTTTATGGGAATGAAGAAATCTAGGAACCATTTACACTTGTATAACTGTTGACATACATATGTGATGGCTGAAAAATAGAGTTTGTACTTCAGACATTCTGCTCGAGACACTGATCAGCTACAGTGATGGATGCTGGTGAGGAAAAAAAACAGAGCTTCTACCTTCTGATTAACTACACACTTTGTCCTGAAAGGAGCACCTGCAGCGTGTCCCACAGATTTAATAAGTGCTGACTTTGCAGAAAGATGAGCTCTCACGTCAATCCAGAGTGTTTCAGCACAAAAGGAAACAAAGAGATGGTCCAAATAAAACCGTACCGGTCTTCAGATGAATTCACCAAGGGGTGTTAAAAACAGGATGGTAATTACAAACTAAAAGACGACAACACCGAAGCCATTACTGCAGATAAACTTGAAACGTCCATTTAGGTATGGAATAAGGTTCATTTCACGCTAGCTCGTCGTGCAAAGGTAATGGCCATTCATGAGCATTTCCACCGCCCACTTTACAACATGCAACTGTTGTTTTCAATCGTATCTGCTCTGGACAGCACTGTCGGCCTGCAGGCTGTCAAAAGCAGACACGTTTCAGCTGTAATATGCACTCATCTATCTCATACGTCTGAGAGGAAAGATATGCTTCAGTTTTGATTACTCACGCAACGGCACTTGCAGAGCTGCAAGGAGTGTTTTAGTCTATTTTATTCCACTTTGCACATGTAATTACACTGATCTTGTCTTGTGCTCTAAGCGCTGCCAGAATACTTGAAGTGCACAGCAGTGTTGTGGCTGAACGCATCAAATACAGACAAGTGACAGAAGACTGCAGCTGCTGCTTTCGCTACATGACCAGTGTAGACAAGGTTGTGTGAATAGAGGGAAAATAAGCTTCTTTTTTTTTTTTTTTTCTTTTTCAAATGTATCTACACTAAGACAATCTAACCCTCTTTATTAACCTCAGAATAGGAGATATTGTGTGAATTCTTTAAAGGAGGCCAGCACTGTGTGGGAGTGGCATTGTGCTGAACTATGGATTGCAAACTTCTCATTTCCATACATCAGACAATCGCTGCTCATTACACGGTGCTGTACTGGTGGTTAAAGCCCAACTCTTCTTTTGTGTTTGACCTGTGACAGGTTTGCTTTCAGTCAGCCATAGAAACCGAGCTCAAGGACAAAAGAAAACCTCCGCCTGGCACCATGTTAAGCCTCACATACAGTAGCTGAGTCCTGACTCAAAAGCACAGCAGACCTGCGTTACATACACGCCTCAGTTATTTCAACTTTCCTGGGGTGTGTTCAGTCCGGCTTGACAGGCACAGTAAAGCCAAAGGTGTTATCCTAAAGCAACCTCTCTCACTCTCTCGCTCACTCACACACATACACACAAAATAAGCCAAATGAACACACAGCTAACAACTGAAATATCTCAAGTATGTATTCCTCTCAGGTCCGCTGTCAGTCCGTTTTACAGCAGAGGCTGCTGATAATACGTTGCCTGCTGCTGCTGGGGAGCCTGGTGAGGCGGAGCAGCTACAGGATAGGACACGGGAGGCATGCTGGAGTTGTGATAGGCCGACATATCCATGGCCACGCCCGCCTGGGGTGGGTAAGGAGCTCCGGCAGCTTGGTTCATGTACTGAGCGTTCATACCGCTGCTGTTGAGGAAATACAGATGTGACATTTAGTACCAACAACACATACGGAACCTAAGTGTCATAAAGATTGTGAGCTGAGCAGTTCCTCAACTGAATTCTCATTTAGTGAAATCCTTTTGTGGTGACATAATAACATCTTGTTGTCACTGACAAAATTCTGCTTTCAAAAAGGACGATTTAAAGATAACTGTTGTTAAACTCCTAAATGTTCTTGTTTTTCTTGTGACAAGTTATCCTCTGATGTAATGGAAAAATGTACATTTGTATATTGTATACCTCCAGATTTCCACTTATATTTATATTTTTAGGACGTACTGTTTTTAACTTATGTTCATCTTGAATTTTTTCCATTTCTTAGACTTTAAATGGGAACAAATGTAACATGAACAATTTCCCCATGGCGATCAATAAAGTATTTCTGATTCTGTAAAGGCTGAACAACAATTTCAAATGTTTACACACATTTGCCATAATTTCTATCGACTGTTTTAATAAAATCTTATAAAATTACAAAATATATATATATGACTGTTATTACCACTACTCCACCTGTCCTGCTAACTATTTAAAATTGAAAACAAATCGCTTGTTAATACCTAGAACGTATACACCGCACTTGGAAGTTACAAACAGGCACAATACTGTAAATTGCAGCCAAAAGGTGCATCTACTAAATACTAACTTAGGTAAATATTTATGCAATCACTAACTTCATGTTTTATATTTGTCATTAAAAATCTTGTTTTAAAAAAAAAGCCAGATTATATTGACCATAATTCAATGTTGAAAAGCAATAAAAGGGGAAAAAATTTCCAAGTCTGCTGATTTTCTGCTGCGACAGCCTCACAGTTCTGCTTTCTTACCTCATGTAGGGCGGCTGAACAGCTTGGGTGTTGGGTGGTGCGGAGACGTTGGGGGGTAGTGAGTGCAGCGGTCCGGGCTGGTCGCTGGGCAGAGTGTAGGGCTGTGCAGGGGGACCCTGGGGCATCGCTGGAGGCATGTAAGGTGCAGCAGCTGGTCCGAGGTAGCCCTGAGCAGAGCAGGAGATCAGGAGAGAAACAAGCCAGCTTTAATAAGTGCTGGGAACATGACTGATCATACGGTTGTTCTTCACTGAATGGATGAAGAAAGGATGTTAACAGCCAACTCATTACTCAGAATCAAGAGTGAAAAATAGCTTGACGGCTCCAACTGACCTCCTGAAGAAGTCGCCGTGGTGTTTTGAGGAAAATATAAAAACACAGCATATACAGTATATACACAACACAGCAATTATCTGAAGAGAACCAGTTGGGAAAGTATTTAAGTACAAATAACAGCACAAAACTACAAAATTACAGTTTCTTTCCACTTCTTCCAAAAGTTCATATCTTTTCTGGCCCAGGTTAAACCTAGAGACATAGTTCCAACAGAGAAATCCACAAGTACAAGTTCAACCTCCAGAAAAAGCCTTTTTGCTCTGAGTCAGACACAGAACTCAACATATAAAATATTAACGCTGTTCCGGTCAATCCGGTGGTGTTGCGACATTATTTTTCACACATTTAAAAGGTTCAGAGCAGAGTAGCTGAGGCAGAAGTTATGAAAAAAAAACATTATTTTAGAATCAGATTTGATTTTTGTAATATCTAATGCTTATGTGAACTACAACTTTGTAACTGCAGGTGCAAAAACAACCTGGTAGTGAGTTTTACTGTGTGCTGCAAAAAAAATCTGAAGGGCGAGTAATAGGTTGAGCAGCACGCTGATGTGGGCCTGCCCACTGAAGTGGACAGTTTTTCTAAATCTTCAGGGAGAGACAGTGACATCAATCATCACAAAGAAAACAGCCACTGCCAAGAAAACTCCGGCATTTACACACTCTCCAGGGGCAGAAAAAAGGCTGACTGAATGTCAAGCTGTAAGGACGAGCCTAAGAAGCAAAAACAACTGTTATACTGCCCAAATCTAACACTAGTGAAAAACTACAGTAAGCATATTTGTGTTGCTACTACAAATGCTTTTCTCCTATATTGGTCCTTTGTTAGTGTATTTAGTGCTGAAAGTCAATTATAAAATTGCACAAGGTGCTGTTAAGTGGCCACACTGGTCATTAAAACACACACTGTCAAAATAAACCTCTTCTTTCAATACAGAAAATCTTCGACTGAACTGTGAACCAACCTCTGACTGAATCCATCATTAAATTATGTATGACTTCACTCTGCTTTCTATTGATTGAGCACATGTGACAGGACAGAGAAGATGGAGCTGCAGCACACCAACAAGAACAGCAAATTATTAGATTTAAAGTTATTCAAGCAAATCTGAATTCTATATATATATTTAGCTTTTTGCTGTTCTGATAAGGACCTTAGAAGAACACTTACCAAAGAGCAGCGTCATTACATCGAGCTATATTTGTCTTGCAAATGAAAAAGCTGTTCAAACCAAAATCGTCACAACACTGTCCTGAATCAACCCTTGTCCTTCCTAATTTATGAATAATGTGAGTGCAGACTGTATTGTTCACCTCAGGCAGTCACTGGAAAGTCAATCTCATAAGGCAGGGTTATGAAGCTGTAATTGAGTGTTTTGTCCTTATCATACGGCTATTACAGCTTTCTGTGATTGATGAGCTGACAGCCTTGTTGGTTTAATACCATTTGAGACAGAAAGTTAGGTAGCTCTAGATTTCTCTAAAAGGACATTCAGCCTAGATCATTTGGGCAGCATGCAGGACAACTTGAGTGCATTTTTCTGACCTGCATGGCCACAGCAGAGCCGGCCGGTGCGTACTGCGACTGCATCTTGGAGTAGGCCGAGTAGAACGGAGCCTCATTCATGAGTTTGTTGTAAAGCTCCAGGGCCTCTAAAACCTTGACATTCAACTCTGACAACTCTGAGTGATTCCTGCAACACAGAGACAGACATCTGTTGAACATATTAAATATAGAATCTTTTCTATTTGTAGAAATTTCTGAGATAGCCGAGGTTCAATTATTGCTGTTTATATATCGAACATCATAGTACAGGGAAGGGTCTTGCCTGAATTACTGTGGTGTTTTTTGACTAAATCTTAAACTACACTGCTTTTTATAATCCTGATTATCATAAAGAGGTCATATAGTTAACACGTTACCTGTCAATCTCCTGCAGCTTCTCGTCTATCATTGGGTTCATCTGCTCACATGCACCTGTTCAGTCAGATATTGACAGATGGGGAGGAAAACACAAACAGAGTCAGGCAACAAAAGTGTGGCTCAGACCGACTGCATTTGTCACCAACAGTGTGACTACATTTACACCAGCATTAGAGTTTATACCCTCCAGCTGGATCAGCTCCGCGGAGTCGGGAGCCGGATCTGCAGGATCTGCATTCTGCAGCAGTGCCAGTGTTCTGTCCATCTTCCCCTGCAGAAAGGAGAGAGCAGACCTGGGTTGGCAACCTGACTGAGAGGTGATGTGGGTCTGTAAATGAGTGTGTGCAGAGGAAAGGTCGTACCTCATCAATGAAGACAGGCTCGGGCTCAGCTTTGGTTTCCAGGCTTGTCTCTTCAGGACTAGCTGTCTTCTCGACATAAGCCACTGTGGAGGAAAAAGTTCAGTCGAATTAAAAGTTCTCAAGCAAGTTGTTCCAGTGAAATCAAATAGCTTTAGCAGAGAGGCTGGTATGCTTTCTAAAGTTACAAAACAGGATATATTGAGTGTGTGCAGCTGAAGGGGCAACAACATTAACTTTCAGTCTGAATGAAAATGCAAACCTGGCTCTGGCTCTGCATTCAGATTGGTTGTGACAAAGTTGGAGGGGAAAAGCCCAACTCCTCTGTGGTTCTCTCCTTTCCACCAGTTTGGATCACTGTAAACAAAAGCATAAAATATGAATAAATATCAATCCCCGAGCTTCTGAGAATTAGCTCATTTATACTAAGCTTCTCACTAAGGCTCCAAACAGTCAAAGTCATTTGCTGAACGCATACAATCTCATACGAGCCACCTTGGTATAGAAAACTAATGTTTTCATTTGGCTCGCTCACTGCACAGGGTGGAGGCCTCTCTTCTGATAAAATGTACCAACACAGGGCTAAGCAATATTATCATTCAACCACCAAAGTTCATATACAGAGACTCTGCACACATCTTTAAATTGTAAACAAATGAATACCACCCTGAAACTCTAAATGCAAACAAACAAGAGCCGGACAAATGTTAGCAAGCATGACTACATGGCAACATTTCCAGCTATTTTATTCCAGCAGTTTTAGTGCTAAACTTTACATGTTTGCATAGAATCATGGCTCTGATTGCTGGAGCTAATGGAATAAGGAGACCTAACAGGTTAACAGGATAATGAACCTTTTCCATATAATTTTGGAATAGGAGCTTTTTTTGCCACAGAAACAACTTGTCGTGTCGCCTCATCAACACCATATTTTTTGTCATTTGGAATAGTTTTCAAGCTCCATCTGCATGCATATTTTTTGAAACATTTCTAATATATTTGACGCAACATCAGTGTTTTTCTATGTACGGACAAATCTGTGAGTAATGTTTTTTTTTGTTTTTTTTAAATGTATGAAACACTTAAATCATTACTTTACACTGTGTTATTTACTGAGAGCACAATGATACCAGAATGGACAGTGGAAACCAAAATTAATAACCCACTGAGGGGGCAATATACTATCACTTGCGCTTCCTAACTGGACAGATCAATATGCCAGAAGTTTGTGCAAAACTAATACTTCTCTATCAGTTGAACCTCTCATGAAAGAATCTGTGTTATACCGCTGATATGTGCAATGTTGTAATTTAAACATCCAGAGGAATTTAGTCAATCGAAACTAGTATTTATGCATATTTTCTGTTTGTCTGGATTTTTCTAATGACATTTTTTAAATGTTTGCACAGTCCTCGTTGCTGCTGTAACACTGCAAATTTCCCCATTGTAGGATTAATGACAGCTTATTGTATTGTATGACTGGGTGAGTTATGAAACATTACCTGTCATCCAAAACGAGAATAACTTCTCCAGTTTTGAAGGTCAGCTCGTTGTCTTCGGCTGCTTCGAAGTCGTACAGCGCACGCACCTTACGGACCTCCTGCACTACGCCGCCATTCGTGTAGCCCGGGGGGTCAGAAGCCACAGCCAGGGGTCGCGTCTCCGCCTGCTGCTTCTGCTCCTGCAAGGACAGCTCGATGGCTGGAGAGAGGTAAAAGGTTTGGATGGAAAACAGAGAGAACAGAAGAAATGTGGAAATGAGAAGAGGAGGCTTGTCAAATATCCAGCACATATGGGCCTGGCACAGACATTGGATTCGTCTTTGTTATTTTCAGAACACACAGCTCGAGTGCTTAAAGGCAGCAAAATCACCTTTTGAAGCACACAAAATCTAGCTGGCAATCAATTTAAACTGTTCTTCCACTTAGAAAGAGATGTATTTCTATCAGAATGTAGTATGTAACGTATGTATGTGATGTAGAAAACGATAACTTGAACAAGACTGTGCAGAGCTGAATGATGGCACCTAACTTTACCTTTGGCCAGGTCATCATCATCTGATGGTTTGCTTGCTGCAGGTGTGCTGGCCTTTGTGGTGGACCCCTGTAGTGAGAATAGACAGATAAGGTCACAACTGTGTGTGTGTGTGTGTGTATGTGTAAGAGACTGAGTTAAAGTGTAGCACAAAGACTACAGATGAAAACTGATTTCCGGTGACGGTCATGCCACCTGCAGCTCATGCTGGGTACCACACGCTGTTCAGAAATGTGTCTTGAGCCTTCAAACGCCAACACTCCACAGAGCTGCCTCATTAACAGCTCTCTAACAGGGCACTGAGGTCAAAGTGGTAAACAAAAGTCAACCGGATGTTGTTGCCTGTGCTAAACAACAACAATTCATTACATCTGTATATTCACAGCTGGCAAATTCATGCTCATGCTGTCTGTCGGTGAAACAGAAATGATTACACCGTGTAAATCATCCAGTAGCAGAATCACAAGGTTTTAGATGCCAAATGTAATCCTCTGAGAATTCTTTCTCTTCTGGATTCAACTTAGCAACCAGCAGACCGTTCCTAATAGATTGAGTTTATCCAAAACTGCCACTGATAATTGTAGCCTGCGAGGACTTTAACCAGTAGACAGTGTCACAAGAAAACCAGGTGAACAACAGGGAATGGAAAATCAGTTTTATATGGCTTGATAGTGTGTAGCTGAACCCAAACAGGGAATAAATGCCTGCATCCTGTCTAAGAGCTGACATTTAAGTTCAGAGCGAATGATAGTAAAGGTAAATACTGCCACAGCTTGAGTCACACAACCTGCTGCTGTTTGCTCATCAGCTGATAGAGATTAAATGTCATACCTGCTGCCTCGTGTGCCACCTGCTCTCCATTGAAGCAGGTTTCCTACACCCTCCCACAACATAATATACAGCAACAACGCAACGACGAGAAAGCAAATAAAACGTAATTGATTTCCCCACGAAAGCCACGATGCTGTTTGATAATCCATATTGTGCGGTGTCAGTTTATAACAGGTTGAAATGGGTCAAATTGTGTATTGTGGCCTACATTTGTGTCCGATATTGTAAATCACTTGTCCAGATTGTTATATAACTACTTACACCTTGTGAGATATACATGTAAAATCAGGTCAGTGATAAATCTTATCTCTACAACGCCAATAACATTCATCAGTGATACAGTTGTAGGTCAGCTGCTTTACGACAACCTGAGAGCAAAGTCCACTTCAGCTTGTGGCACCAATAACGTTGTTGCATAACAAATGACACAGGCCTCAAGTAATAGACGAGAAACCAGACAACAGCTTTGTGTTCTACAAAGATAGTTCCTGGGACACACACATACACAAGTCCACAGAATTATACGAAATATGTGAAGAGGAAATTCCACCGTGAGATCCTGCCATATAAACTCAGACAGACGAGCTCCACCCAAGTCAAACCCCCACACTGGCAACACACTGGTCCGCACTGAAACCACAGTCATAATGACATCCCTCATACTGGACAAAAACATCCCACACACACACACATATTTTGTTATTGTGGTCCACTGACATACTGGAATTAGGATAAGAAAGCCAACAAAACAAAGGAGAGTGAAAAGTGCAGTGATAGCCGATAATACTATAAAATGTGCATAATCCAACATTTAAGTGTTAGGATCCAAGTGAATGGGAAAAAAAAAAAGCTGCTAAATCTGGCTGTAGATGAGATGTTTTCCACGTAACCAGCCACTCTGGCAAGCAAAGTGTTTGTTCCTGTCTGTAAAATAAAAGCTGGCTGGCATCCGACTGAAAGTGGCAGACACAATAAGTTTTTTGAGGAGGTGGACTAACAGGAAAGGCTTACAGTTATGACTAATTTGCTTCACCAAGTTAGTCTTCAGTAGAGGCTTATCATGCTGTGGTTGGAAATTATGTCCCAATTTCTCTGCAAACAAGTGAGATATCTTGTAAACTGGGTTCTCTAAGGCTACGAGGGTTAAACATGGAACCTGATCTGCTTTACTGCTGTGTAACCTTCAGTGAATTTTTGAAAATAATACATGTTTCAGAGTGACATGGTTGATTTCCTCAGAAAATGAGTCAGGGAAATCAATGAGCTAAGAAATTGAGCTATATTGTGTCATGAGGTTGAAAGAAAAACTTGGGTTTCAATCTATTTGTCCATTGGCTGGCCTAATGTTAATTACATAAACTGATATTTAGAAACTGTGATTTTACTATCGTCTTTCAAGTTTTAAGTATGTTTGCGTGGTAAGACTACATGATGAATGATGGCCTGCATATAAAGAAATTGGACATAAAAACTCAATTACCACACTCATAAAGGCAAAATAGTGTTTGATTTGCACCTTGCTTTGTGTATCATTGCTAAATCATGACCTTAACATACCTGCGAGGACGCGGAGGGGAAGGTGACCCCTTCCTCTTTCAAAGACTTGATAGTGGCACCGACCAGACTGAGCTGTGGATCCTTCTGGAAGTCTTCTGCCCACTCCACCATCAGAGCTTTTAGTTTTTCAGACACCTTTGGATGGGCCTACAGAGGAGATGCAAACAAACAGCTGTGTTGCTCCTTCTTTTGTTTTTTTTTTTTTAAATGCCATAATAAGGCTATAATGGCTCCCCAACAACAAGGGCTCTAATTGGGTTTAAGGAGTTGACGGCCGTGAGAACTATTTATGATTTTATCTGTGCTGTTTGTGTTAATGGTGAAGTGTAAGGGAGCACATGGGTGGTTAAGAGTGCACAAAAGGTTTCAGACAGACTAAAAAAACAACAAAAAAAACCTTGGAAAAGTGAGGAAAAAACGGACAAGTTTACATACCTTGCTCAGCACACCTCGAACTTCACTGGCAAATTCTCTTGAGCAGATTTCCAAGTGGAATATTTTGCCACAGTTTGATACACAAGCACCCAGCAACTGCAGGAGAAGAAGTGGAAATTGTAGTCCAGCAAAAATAGGAGGTTCTGTCAATGTTTTCAATATTTCCCCCCACCACCACCACAACTCACATTGTTAAATTATTTAAAGCGCATATTAATAGCAGGTGAAGCTTTTATAATTATGAATGGTTTTTATAACAAAGGGGCTATAATTGCCAGAATGAGTGAATACAGACATCTAAAAATAGAGCAGCCCATGTGACAGTATTTGCTCATGATGACTCAGACAGAGAAATAGCTCTCACACTTCTCACTGGAGTTAAATCCCTCCAAGTATGAAATCCTCCACTTTCTAGCTTTAAAAATGGAAATATTACATCAGTTACAGCTTACCTGCAGCAACACTGCACTTCCTATACATTAATTTGACACAGGAGTTTGCCCCTTCATAAATCTCATGAACATAACGTTTTTTTTCTGTTCTAGGTTTTAAAACTTTAGATTTTAAAAGATTTTGAACAGCTGTTGCAGACAGATGGAGAAAAATACTCAGCACGTTTAGGATAACCCTGGTAGCACCTACTGCCATAGTCATTTCTATTTTGGGCAACATTGTTTGTAGGCAAACATGAACACATGTTCGGCTCTGACACAGCGATATTCTAAAGTCTTTGTTATCTTGATTCAGTTTTGAGCTGCTTTGCAAAACCCTGTAATTAGTCATTTGTTCTGTAATTGCATGCTTTTTAACTTAACAGTGTCCCATATACGAAGCATATCCAGCAAAAACTAAATAATATTGACTGGATCTTCAGTCCAAAGCCAGGGAGAATTTCTTCTTGTCTCAGTTACAAGTAACTATTTGATGACATTTTCATACATTTTAATTTGGAAGGTACAGTAAGAAACTCACATTGAGGGCCTGCATGGCGACATGAGGCACTTTGTGGTTGACTCTCTTCATGATGGCTCTCAAGCTGTCCTTTGGTCTGTAACAGAAGAAAACAGAATGGAATCAATTGCTACTCAAGTAATCAATAAACAAAAAACTGTTTCTGTGCACTGGAGATGCTCCTGGTGACATCTCAAAGTCTCACACAAATGTATTCTACTTCAGAAACCACTTCAATAACACTCAAATTGTGATGTGCTCGTGCTATCCATCCATCCATCATCTATACACCGCTTAATCCTCATTAGGGTCACGGGGGGGCTGGAGCCTATCCGAGCCGACTCAGGGGGAAGGCAGGAGACACCCTGGACAGGTCGCCAGTCCATCGCAGGGCCACACTTACAGACAGACAACCAAGCACATCCACATTCACACCTACGGACAATTTAGAATCACCAATTAACCTCAACATATTTTTGGACTGTGGGAGAAAGCCGGAAAACCCAGAGAGAACCCACGCTGCACGGGGAGAACATGCAAATTCTATGCAAAAAGATTCCTGTGTCCCCACTGGGACGTGAACCTTGTTGCTGTGAGGCAACGGTGCTAACCACCGAGCCACCTTGCAGCCCTGTGCTCGTACTCGTCGAAGGCAAAGCTTTTTTTCCAACTTACCCATTGGATGTTGTTCCGATCTTGTCGCAGATGTCCATAATTAGCCCCCAGTCATCTGTTGTGTTGTTTTCATTGGTTGCCTTCTCTGGAAACATGCAAAACATAGATATACTATATAGTGAGAACATATCTTCTGACATCAGGGTTGCTTTGTGTGCTTCAAACATTACAGACTCGTGGGAAGGCATGCCAGTCACACTGGGTGATATAGCAATGATTAGCTAGCGTTGAACTGTCACATTTCAGAACTGAATAATGTTATACCTGTAAGCTGAAAGTTGAAAAAAAAAATTGAAAGAGTCCTATATTCTATTTAATTTCAAAAGTCTTGTTGTTTTGTTATGTGAATTTGCAAAGTCCCCTCAGTGAACTGTTGAGGCCGTCCCTGTGTAAAGGTTGTAACTCATGATCTGGTTAGTTGGTGACAGGCTAAACAACAGTCACATTACTTCACTAAATGGCATGACATCCACTGTGTCAAATTACACATCTGTCTTTTTTGTCACTGAAAGTTTCTATTTGGTTATATGATATTTTATAAAAGAGTATTTATTTTAATGATGGTAATGGACATGATCTTCTTGTCATGTGACCCATCACTGCTTAGTAAGAAGTGAGCAGGAAATTACTCGTATGACCATTTTCAGTTCAGTGTCGCGATCCTCATGACTCAGTCAGTTAAGTGTAACAGTGCACTATTGTTTAGTTATATGAGAAGTGCAGTGTCGCAGGGACTGATAAAGTTGGTGACCTAGAAGTTTGCATTAAAATTTACATGAGATGAGTATCATAACAGACTATCTTGACAACACAAAAGACCAACATGGTACATCCCTGTCAATGTAATTCAGAAGATCAGGCAAATGAACTAACTAGTAAATTACTATCCTTTAATCTGCTTAATATGTATTTTCTCATTTAACTGTTTCATCACTAAAATGTCAACATCAACTTTTTTGTTTGATTGGATTACATTGAAAATTATTTCCACTGTAAATTAATTACATTAAAGAAGAAGGGATCTATTTCTTAATTTAGCCTATTTTTTCAATTAAAAAAAACAATTAACTAATCATCTAATTTGTCGGTTAACAAATGAATACAACACACTCCATAGATTAATCATTACCACTCTACTGTCTGACCAGCATTTCGAAACTTAGCACATTGACTCAGCTATTACAGCTATGACACACCAAACAGGAAAGCAAAATCAGAAATCCCCACAACTAACTGGAATTGTTTGGTACGTTTGCTTGAAAATTTATTTCAACTATTAATTACCAAAATAATCTCAGATGTATTTCCCATCAGCTAATCAATTAATGACGAATGAGCTCTGCTTATTTCATCTTAGTTTATTTAGGTGAAAACCAAAAACGTCAACCTTCCAGTCCACCGTAACACATACGTGGCTTTTATATACATATTATTGTTAGTTTTGTACTGTTCAATGTAACTGCAATGAACATTTTTGATTACTTAACGTTCATTTCATAACGTAGTCGATTAATTAACAAACATATAATCGATGTAAACACGTATAAAACCCTGCTATTACAACCTAAGAATAAACATTATAGTACTATATAGCCAGTCTGACCTGAAATGGGGTCAGCTTAGCTTGTAAATGACGTTATCCAGTGTGTTTACATGAATCAGACCCAAAGTTAGTTGCCAAGCAGTCGCTTACCTTGGCAAACAAACCTAAAGATAAACTTACTAAAAGTCACTGACAACCGGTGAGTTTGTCAACTACACATTCAGAAAGTGTCTGAGACGTGTGAATGTCGTTGTTAGAAATTCTGGCAGCGTCGAAATAACTTAGAGCGAATTGAAGAGCTCGTGCTAAGCTAGCGTTAGCTTCAAGTGTTGTTAGCTCTGTCGTTAGCTAGCTGTGACACACTGAAAAGGACAGAAAACCCGCATTTCACTTACCGACATCTTGGTCAAACGGATTTTGGGAAAATAAAGGCATCCTGACGACTTAAAAAAGAGCCAGACTATGTGAGAAAAGAAAGGTATGCGTGTTCTCCGGACTAAACCTAAACAAATACCTCTTCCTTGTCCATTAAACTCGCACCAGTTGCTCTTCCGGAAACTTGGCTGTCTTCGATAACGCCTGAACATTATTCTAAATACCGGAGTACGTTTTCACCTCGTTTTGCGGTTTTGTGTGAGTATTTATTTATATTACCATTGTCATTATTTCTGGGAGTACAGCACGTTCACATGAAGTTTTATAAATATTTAGTGTAATATCTGGCACTTGAATATAAAACCTTTGTTTTACACCTTAAGTAAAACACTGGCATCTAGTGGCAAAAACAGGGACTCCTAAATGTCCTTCATCCTAATGCCCATTACAGTCACAAAGTATAGTGTACAGCAAAAGTTAACCTTCATTCAAATGTGAAATTACTGAAAATTGTATCACTTCTCAATAATTGTGTCATTTGTGAGTTGGCAAGTAGAATATTAACTATGAATAATCAAAAAAAAAACCTTAGAAATACTGCACTAAAAATACAGGCCCCAAAGTAGAATCTCAATTAATTAAAAATGAATACACCTGTGATCACTGGCAGAAACATTAAAAACCTCTGATCACGGAAGCAAACTTGAGAACACCCATGATTCCCAGTTAGAATGAGTGCATGAACATAATTATAAAGTGAGCTCACATTTCTTTGTTTTTGCATGTATGTTCTGTGTCTATCTGCTTGTCTGCATTATATTGAAAACTGTGAGATTTCACAAACATGGAAAATGATACAGGAAAATCTGAGACCAATTAATAATGACTGGGGTAGTCGATTCCATAGTGGTTGTCCTCCTAAAATGCACATGTGTTGGGAAAACAGTGTGAGATTTCTGCACAGTCCCTCAATTTTGTGACAGGATGATGATCCTACATATAAAACCAAAGAAACCAAGGATTTAAATGAGCTATTTAGTTAAATGTTCTTGACTGGTAGTGACATGAGCTCACTGCAATACCTCATGTCTTTTACTTACTCATGTTAAAGATGAAAAAGCAAAACTGACTGCAGCAAAGGAATGACAAAGTATCATCACCAGGGAGGATACCAAATGCTGATCATGTTTTGGGGGTCAACATTTCAAGCCAATTATTAAAAATAATCTTCTTCTTTTTTTTTTTTTTTAATTTAATTGTTGTTCAAGGAATTTAGTCCTTCACATTGATGAAGTTGAATATTAACATGGGACAAAATAAAAATAAATAAATAAATAGCATTAGAATAAGACTGGCATTGTGAATTTACCTAACAAGTTTAAATATTATAATTAAGACACTAAAATAATATGAATTATTGAAATTCACTTGAGTAATCTAAACATTAATGTTTGGACCCTGAAA